GGTGGAGATTCTATTGATTAATATCATCCCCATCACCCCCATTCTGCGCCATCAGACTCTCTGCGACTATCCTAGCTCTTCTAGTCCTTCCCCGTTCTTTTTCTACGTTCTTTTGACGTTGCTGATGATTAACTGGCTTCTCCGCTGGCTTTCTCATGATAGCCATGACGGTTGGCCTTTGCGTCTTTAAGCTTCTCTTTGAGCTCTTTCAACTATTCCTTAAGCCCTTCATTCTCTATTACGGTGTACTCAAAGTGTATCCTGTATGTCCTTTTAATTTTTCGTCTGCGTCTCCCTGTCTGCATTTTCAGCATCCAAGGCTGCACTCTCCACCTCTCAAAGCCAGTCAGGAACCTCGGGGTTCTGTTCGACCCTGAGCTGTCCTTTCTCCCCCATATCCGCGCCACAACTGGCACCGCCTTCCATCGCCTCTGGAATGTCGCCAGACTACGGCACTACCTCACCCCTCACGCTGCTGAAACTCTGGTCCACGCCTTTATCACCTCAAGGCTGGACTATGGGAACTCTCTCCTCGCCGGCCTTCCCGTCACCTCCCTCCACACTGCAGGTCATTCAGAACTCTGCAGCTCGTGTACTGTCCCGCACCAGACACCGCGACCACATCACACCCACCCTCGCTCGCCTCCACTGGCTCCCCATCCCCCAGAGGATCGAATTCAAGATCCTCATCCTCACCTACAAGGCCATTCACGGCCTTGCTCCCTCCTACCTCTCCGACCTACTATCCCCCTACCTACCCGCCCGTACCCTCCGTTCCTCTGGCTCCGGTCTGCTCCACGTCCCCCGCCCCAACCGCCCTACTATCGGTGGCCGGGCCTTCAGCCTCTCAGCCCCGAGGCTCTGGAACTCTATCCCCCAGTGCCTTCGCCGCTTCCTCCCTTTCCTCCTTCAAGGCCGGTCTCAAGACCTTTCTCTTTGACCGTGCCTTCAGCTCCCCTCTCGACTCTCTACCCCCTCCTCGCTCCCTCCCTTCCCTCCCCTCACCCTTACCATTTCCCCCCAATGCTCGGGTCCTGACCCAACTGTACAGCGCCTTGGGACGTCCTCCCGACGTGAAAGGCGCTCAATAAATGGAATGTTGTTGTTGTCTGTTTTCCCATTTTGTTGGTGATGAATATTCAACACAGCCTCCAAACTCTCCTTTTTCTGTCTCAACCAGCAAATTTTATCATTGGTTCCCAAGTTGCTGTTATTTGGAGCTTGTCTAGAGGGTAGACCCTCTCTCTCTTTCGTCTCCATGACCTGTATTGCCACTTATGGTGCCCTGGTTTATTGCAATTGTAGCAATTGCCCCACCTCCTGCTGGAGGCTGTAAGATTTACTTGTCCACGTCCCCTGTTTGATGGAGGCTCAGGTCCTTCCATAGCCACAAATGGTCTGTTGATTTCTGCATGTGCTGTGCCATAGTTAGTTCCAAGATTTTCTCTCTTTTACATTTAAGTTGTTCCTCCAACTGCAGTACCTTTTTTGGACACTGTATGCAACGCCCGATCAGATTCTCCAGATTCCTTGGCCATAGCTGCCTGCGTTTTTGCAGGAGCTTTTAAATCAGCTCTTCCTTAAGTCCTTCATTCCCTATTACGGTGCACTCAAGAGGTCACACATCGGGAAGCCGTTAGAACCAAACTGCCCCTGGATTCTCCTTGCCTTCCGGTCAAGTTTGGTACTGTTGTTCCAAGCTGCAAGCTACGTGCCTCACACACACAATCCTCTCTTTATTACAACACCCCATTACATCCTCTAACACAACGTGGCGCAGAGAGTAAACAAAATGGTTTAGCTCTGGCGGACGTAATTCTATGTGTTTTTTAATCTGTGGGTCAAGATGAGAGTCACAGTGAGCGGGACAGTTAGCAGCCTCGCCGTCCACACAGTCTATTTTTACTGGAAATGATATCCTGACATGGAGCAGATAATGTGGCGAGATTAAATCGCTCTTCACTTGCAATGACATCCGATACTCAAGCCTTCCCCAACCCCTCAATTACAGAGCAACAGGTTCCTGCACAAATCACTTGTGGTCAAAAGGAGCAAAGATTCAGCTCTCTGCACATCCAACTACCGACTGTCTGTCTCCCACCCCTGGGGCAAAGGAAAACTCAAGCCTCAGAGTGTAAAGCCGAGTTACTGAAAACAAAATGCACAGTCACTCAACTTTACAATAGATCGTGTGAAGCGCTTTGAGACGTCTCCTCAACGTGATAAGGCGCTACATCAAATGCAAGGATCGAGGATCAACAAAGTATGAATGTTCAAGGATACAGATACCCTGTTCCATGGCAATCTCTGTGTTGATGTATTTTGGTGTCTATTTTCCCGCCTCCTGAATTAAGCGTCACCCCAGGGGGCAGTGAGGCCTGTGGGAAGCTCTGTGCTGCCATCCCCTGGTTTCGGGTTCATTGGGGGGACGTCTCAGCCCTGCCCTTCCGTTATTCCGTCCTCGTTTACCCATTGTGGAAAGTCCCAGGTTTGATTGCTGGTCCCATTCAGTGACGTAAGGATTTTGACAGCCCACCCGCCCCACCCCAATGTGAACAGGCTGACCATACCCAGTTGCTCCTCTATCGCCTGTGTACTTTTGGCTGTTCCCCCTGACTCCAGCTACCAGCCCCACTCCTCTCAAAAATATCCCACCGCGAGCTTGGGTGCACTGGACAGTGCTTCTGGGATGTCCTCCCAATGTGAAAGGCACAATACAAGTGTATATATATATATATATATATACCAGAAAAACAGAAACACCTTATCAAAAATCTTCTGGAAATCCAAATGCGCAACATCCACATTGCCTTTATGTACACTCAGTCACTGCCTCGAAGAACTTTATTCCACTAATCAAACCCGATCTGCCCTTTACTAACCTGTGCCGACTGTCCCTGGTTAACCGTCGTCCAGATGTGGAGCTCTGTCTGCTTTGGATACTCTGAAGCATGGTGATGGGTTTCCTCATGGGTCAGTCACCTGCTAACCAATACAAGTACAATGCTGTAACTGGCAACCCTCGGCTAAGGAGGGAAACATGTTCAACTGCTGCTCACACTACTCACTGCTGTGAATGTAGGCCCACTGTTGAGACTGTCCGTGCACGTGTATGTGTGTCACTCTGTGTGTCTTTCCCTGGGTGGGTGTGTGTGTCTCTCTCTCTCTCTCTCTGGGTGGGTGGGTGTCTCTCTGTGTGTCTGTGTGTGGTGGCAGTCCCGAGAGACAACATGTGGTGACCTCCTGGAGCCTGCAGTCAGGAGCTTGGCGAGTGATGCTGGTGTTCGGTGATTTCCAGGCCATCAAATGTAGGGTGGGGTTTGATAGGATGCCACACGGGGAGACAGGTGTGGAGCTCAGGATGCGGACAATTCAGTCCTTTGGGCCTGCACAGGTGTGTATATGTGTGTGACCCACCTGTGTCCCCGTCCCCAAGTTGGCCACACAATTTTTGTTAAAGAAATCAATAATAAATTTTTTTTGCAACAATCGATGATGTGTTATTCGTTCATGTTTAATTTTAATCAATAAAGTGAAAAAAAATGCCTCTCAATAGCACCGATCAACTCCCTGCAATTTTCCACAAAACTTGTCAAACTTCCCCGCAATGTCTGACAAATATTCCCACTATTTTCTACTGGCCGTGGACATTAACAGCGGACGTCACAGCTAAGCCTGATCCTGGTCCCCAGAGTGCGCCGAGGGGCAAGGCAGCCCAAAGGATCAATGAACGACAGCAACCTGCATTTGTATAGTGCCCCTCACGTCCCAGAGCGCTTGCGATCAATAAAGTCAGAGTAGCTTCAGATCTGCACCTGTGACCTGGTCAGGTCAGGCTCGCTGAGGTCCAGGTCATTGGTTTATCAATGGAGCTAAGAAGGGATGTGCGGTGAAGGCTATTGTTGGGCAGGAGAGCCTTATGCAGGAGTGTCCATATGCAGCCGTTCTGCACACTCAGGCCTCCTTGGCTTGGCACGAATGACATTTGTGCGCCTCTATTTTTGAAACCAGGCGAGACTCTGAGTTTCCAGAGAAGCTGAGTGTGAGACCGACCAGCAGATCCCGATCACATTACTCAATGAATCACTCAGAGAGAAAGCAGCAGCTGGCCCATAGGCACCAGCTGTCGCCCTCTGCAGGCTCCTAGGAGTACTGTGGATGGCCACATTTCTACACCAACATAAGACAGATAACATGCGGAAGACGAGGCAGAGAGAGAAAGGTGTGGAGATAATCTGCGTGGAACATCAATCGGTGGCAGACACATTCCCGTACAGTCTGTACACCCGTTCCCTCCGCTCTGGCCTGCTCCACGTCCCCCAACCCACCCGCCCCATCATTAGCAGGAGAGCCTTCAGCCACTCTGCCCCCAACCTCTGGAATTCCATCCCCCAGTCACTCCGCCTCCCCTCCCTTAACCCCCAGCAGTGTTCCCCCAACCCCAGCTCGGGTCTGAAATGCTGTACTCTGTCCAGCGCCTTGGGAAGTTCTCCCGACGAGAAAGGCGCTATACAAATGTAATTTTGTTGTTGTTGTTGTATTGTTTTTGAAACTGGTGACACTTATGGAATAATAATGATAATACTTTCATTAGACGATTACTTCTGAGACACCTCAAAGAGCTTCACAGAATACAGTAAAGTGAATTGACTGTATAGTTTGTGGGCGGCAGCCAATTGCACACGGCAACGTCCCACAAACAGTCGTGGATTAAATGATCAAACTATTTTTATTTATTTTGAAGGAATTATTACCCCTGAAAAAGCAATTCGCCAATCGACTAACAACTGGGTTCCTACTTACTGCTAGATAAACAGAGATGTGTGGAGTAAAGAAACTTACCCAACGTTTCGCGCTGCCCGAAAATCAAACCCAGGTCCTCTTGCTTGCGAGGCAAGTGCTCTAACCACTGAGCTATAGGACACAAGAGGAGTTACAATTGGCCTCAGTGAAGCTGAGCTATCAGGGAGGGGAAATATTCTTGTCTCAAAGCTGTCAAACCTCAAAGCTGACATGTAGCCAATGGCCCTTAGAGAGTTTTATAAAGCCTGGTGGGACAGAGAGAGGGGAGACCATTGAAGAAAAAGTTACAGATTTAGTTAACGGATCTCAAAACATTTACTTCCTCGGAAATGCGATTTGCTATTAAAATACGGCGTAATATCAATGCAATCTAATATTCAGAATCTCAGAATTTCCTAAAAACCCAACTGGAATTGTGCAGCAGGAGCTGTGGACTCACTCAGTCATCAATCTCAGTTATCAATTGTTCAGCCCTCAAAGATGTGCAGGTGAAAGTGATCAGGATTGTTTTGAATTGAAACCAATGTGAGGTTTCCAAAAGGTAGGATAATGCTCAAAGGCTTGAGGAGAGGGCAGTGAGTAGGAAAAAAAACGTGTGCAGTGAGTAGGACAAAGCACTGTGCATAGGTCTTTGTGAAGGATTAATTGTGATGACATGGAGTTTCCAGAGACTGAAGACTGCAAGGACTTGCACACCTGGCCTGTGTGTGCAACCATCACTCCCAGAGCTGCCAGAGGCATATTTTCAGCCCGTAGTTTGGGTGTGGAGCAGTCAGAGAAACCTGAAGATGGCAATCCAGGAAATGAAGAGGATTCTGTGTACAGCTGGTGAGTGATCCAATACACCCAAACAATTACATTTATATTTCCCTTTCATGTCAGAGAAATGAGGAATATAAAGGAATTGAGTTTAATAGGTTTGATTTGGGTCTTAACGATGACACTAACAACAACAACTTGCATTTATATTAGTGCCCCTGATACAGGCTGAGTGCTTTACCTTTAACATGTGTAAAGAAGGTTGTGTTTCTGCCCCTGGATACAGCCACTCCCTGCTTGAGTGTCGCTTTCTACTGTGTGAGTGAGGTGTGTGAGCACCTGCAGACAGTTTGGGCTGGGGGGAAGGGGGCTGAGGCACTCATGTGTATCTCCATGATTTAAAAAAAAATTGGGGGGACTTCAGCTGGGTGTCTGACACATGTGGAAACCCATCAACGTGCTTAAGAGAATATATAATAATAATCCTTGCATTTGATATTGTGCTTTTCACGTCTTCTCGACGTCTCAAAGCACTTCACAGAATAGATTGTAAAGCAAATTGACCGTATATTTGTGGGCGAAATGCGGCAACAAATTGCGCACAGCAGTGTCCCACAAACAGTCGTGGATTGAAAATGACCAATTTATTATTGTTTTGGAGGGATTATTATTAGGCTCTGTGTGGAGTAAGGAAACTTGCCCAAGGTTTCGCCCTCTGCCTGGAATTGAACCCAGGTGTCTCACTTGCAAAGCGAGTGCTCTAACCACTGAGCTACAGAACTCCTGAAGGGAATGGGTGTGGAGAATTCAGCTAATCCCTGTGTTTTGCAATTAAGGCGATAGAGTTGTTTTTTGTGACTATGACTGGGGATGGGGCGGTGTTGTTAAATCTGGTTTTGAAAGCTGAGTGGAGCAGGAGGGTGATGGAGTAGATGTGGTGGGAGGAATCCTGCTGTGTCCATCAATCCCACTACTGCCAATAATTCTACACCTCGCTAGTCACCTAACCTTGTTGTCCTGTGATGTTTTGCTCCGTTGGATATTGTGTTCATTGCTGGACTGTTCTTCAGATGAGACATGAATCTAAAGTCCTGTCTGCCTTTCCATCAGGTGTTAAATATTCCGATGACACTATTGGAAAAGAGGAGAGAGTTTCTCTGGGTGTCCTGACCAAGAATCCCCAGATAAATTAGTCATTTATTATTATTATTTATTATTATTAACTTCATGGCTGTGTGCAGGTTACTGCTGCTTTTGTCTATATAAATATATGACTAGCCCAGACTGACTGGAATTACTTGTGAAGTGCTTTGAGATACTGTGACCTCCTCAGTGCTACAATAAGACGTGAGAATCATTTCTCTGTTAGTTCCTGCTCCAGCTGTGACTCGGACGAGGAGGAGGAGGAAGAGGACAAGCTCAATAAGTTCCAGAAACGGATGTTGAAGGAGCACAAAGAGGCAGTGGCCAAGGCTGCCAGCAAGACAGACAAAATCAACGTCATCAAAGAACGGGACCGCAGGTAACGTACTTACACGCTATTTGGTGAAAATCTCAGCTTCTAATTTGGAGGCGCTTGAGACTTGTGATGGGGTGACCAGGCAACCATTCAAAGTGCTGGAGCTGCTGTTTTGACTTAAGGTCAAACACAGAGGGTCAGAAGATGTGCATTTCTCAGATGCTACAGTATCCTCAGTTTAGGTGACAGGACTGTGGTTCGAACCTTAATTTGAAGGTGACTTGAGCTGATTGTCCAGGTTCAATACAGTATTGAGGGAGTGTTGAATTGTCGAAGGTGCCATCCTTCAGCTGAGATGTTACATGACCCCATGTGAGAAAAGAAGGTGAATTTCTCCTGTGTCCTGACCCAACAATCCTTCAGATAAATTGGTTATTCGCTTCCTGACTGCTTGTGGTACTTTGCTGTGTGCAAACTGGTGACTGCATTTTGCCTACATAATCACTATAATGGAACAGGAATCGCTGTCGGGCCCTTTGATGTTACAAAATAGTGGAAGTGTTTGGAATTTCCGCTTCTTGATCATGTTTGTGGGGTGAAATTTGCATTGAAACAACTGAAGATTTTTTTTACACAAAGTGTTGCAACTCACTTTGTCATCACTTCCGTTTCTTTCAGGCCTCGGATTTCTGGTCATCCTGGAAATGTTTTTTGAATGTGAATCAGCACTAATATTTCATTCTCTAACTTTTTTTCTCTCTCTCTCTCTCTCGTTGCTGTTGGGTAGGAAACGGATAAAAACTAGCTGTGATCATCTTCGGGACTTGTTGCCTAACTTTGAAGGACGAAAAAATGATATGGCTTCTGTCCTGGAAATGACTGTGAAATACCTGGAGCTGGTTCAAGTGCTCATTCCACCACAGCAACGCTCTACAGTGAGTACAAAGCTCCACAGTCACTGAGCTCCAGTCACCCAGTGATCTATTGAATTACAGGGTTCTCAAACAAACTTTCTTTATAAACCGCTCCACTGTTCTGCTTGCTTTTTAAATAGATGTCAGCCTGACTCAGTTGGTCACACTCTCGCCTCCACAACAGAAGGTTGTGGGTTTACGTTGTGATTTTAAGCTTGTAATCTACGATGGAATTATCAAGCACTCGGGGACATCCTCCCGACATGAAAAGTGCTATATAAATGTAATTTGTATTGTGTTCACCAGATCACAAGATTAGTTTGGATGAAGGCCATCAGATTTCATCCTTGTAGACCCTCCCACAATAATAATCCTTGCAATTGATATAGCGCCGTATCATGTCATTGAGATGTCTCAAAGCGCTTCACAGAATATACTGTAAAGTGAATTGACTGTTTTTTGGACAAAAGGTGGCAGCCAATTGCACACAGTCTTGGATTGAATGGCCATAATATTATTTTTTTTAAAGGGGTTTTTACCCTTGGAGAGCGATCTGCCAATCGACTTAACAAACGGCTTGCTATTTACTGCTAGGTGAATAGAGATGTGTGGAGTAAGGAAACTTGCCTGATTTGGTAATTGTGTGTTCCACAGATCCTATCTGTACCGAAAGAATTATATGAAAAGTGGCAGAAACCTGGTGTAAGGACACAAATGGAGAAACTACCCTCTGCGCAGGAAAGGGATCCTGGGACAAGTGGGAGAAGAAAAATGTACAAATAAGTTTGTCTCCTATCATATTTGGAGCTTTGTTTGCGTAAAGAAGGTCCTTTAACTCATCCGATCATATCTTTCTACAGCACCCCACCCCCAATCACAGCACCGAGTCCAGTATTCTCACTTTAACTCCTCAGATCTTCTGTGCATATTATTCATCTCTGTGTGCAAAACCACAATTGCATCAGTTCTCTCCCCCTCATTATCTGATCTGTCCTTACTTTTATATCCCTATTTTTGCCTCTGGCAAACAACATAGTCTTATTTATGTTATGGTCCTCTCTCTCTGTCTACAAAATCTTCCTGAGGCGTCTCCAAATACAATGCCTTGTCTAGCCATCTCCTGTGTCTCTTCCGTTGTTGTCCTCCCTTCGTTGAGATTCCCTGGTGGACGGTGCTGAGCTATCCAATGATTTGTTGGTATGCCAGAAACAGCTTCTCTTTTAATTCAGCAGGAAAAAGATATCAACAAAACGTTGTCCGGCAAACCCAGCTGTGAATGAGAAGCAAGACTTGACCATCACTGTGAGAAGCCCCCACACCTCAACACCCATCAACCTTCCTTCCACCTCAGGTTAGTGTTTCTGTGGAGAGCTCTCGTCTCCAATTGTTTCCATTTATTTCAAATAATTCCCCTTTTTTTTACCTTGTCTGTTTCTAGTCTCAATTTGCACTGAGCCCAGCACGAGACCAGAAAGGAAGTCAGAAGTTGCCTTTAACCTGGAGACGAGTTCTGCAAGCCCTGAGATTCGTGCACAAGGTCAAACTTTAATAAATATTTGGGGTTGGGGTGAAAACCTTGTCTTTTCTGCAGTTTCCCAAGTTTCTGACCACAGGTCCAGAGGGAGTGCGAGCGAGTGAGTGATTTGTGACAGTTTCAGTGTGAAATCTGTGAAACTTTTCACACTGCTGTGCTGCTGGAGAATTTCTAAAACCTGTCATCCCTTCTGATTGCTGCACAAGACTTCAAACCCTCCTTTTGGCTTCTGCACCTTCCAGACTTTTATTTGTTTAGGAGAGGGAGAAACCATTTGGAGTTGTAATTTTTTGGTGGTTCTAGCCAGTCAGGTTCTTGTCTGTTCCTCTTTGCTTTCCATTGAATGTTCCTCAGACTGGTCTGAATTCTAACCCATTTTCTTCTCACCGACTTCACAACCCGCCTTAAGACTGTGATCCTAAAATTAAAAATTGTGGATATGTGTGGAGTCTTGTAGCGTAGAGTACTTGCCTCACAAGCGAGAGGACCCATGGTTCAATTCCCGGGCAGGGCGAAACCTTAGGCAAGTTTCCTTACTCCACACGCTTCTATTTACCTAACAGTAAGTAGGAACCCGGTTGTTAAGTCGATTGGCGGATCGCTTTCCGGTAATAATCCCCTCCCACAAAAAATGTGGTCACTCAATCCATGACTGTTTGTGTGTCACCGCTGTGGGCAATTGGCTGCCATGTTTTGCTTACAAAATACAGTCAATTCACTTCACAGTACATTCGGTGAAGTGCTTTGAGACGTCTCAATGACGTGATAAATCGATATCAAATGCAAGTATTATTATTCAATGGAGAATTTCTGCTCAAAGAGAAACTGTATAAACGGCTGCGTGTCTGAGTCGCTCTGTGTTAAGCTGTTCCGAGCTAATTGAACCTCCCCAGATTGCGCGATGCCATCCATCGATTGGACCTAATTTGTTTTTTAAAAAAATATTTGCCCTGAATAAGGTTTTCTTCAATATCTGTGCCAGGAAAGTCTGTGCTGCTGCCGATGACGGAACCCTGCAGGCAAACCTTGGTATCGCTCGCCACGAGATGGTTCGCAGACTCCCCCAGTGTCTGGGGATCTCAGCTCCTCGGGGTTCCCAAGCCAATGACTCCAAACGCGCAGCTCAGCACAGCTCAGCACAGTCGGTGAGTCTCTTGCCCTCCTCAACCTCCCCGTTGGCTCCTGTGCCTTCAACTTCGAGACTTCTAATTCTTCAATTGTTCTCTCCTCAGTTGTGCCACAGGACGTGAGCTTCAGTCTGACCCCAGTGCTGCCAGCCTGCAGGGTACGGTAGATATGGTACACAGTGGATCTGAGTCCTTCTCTGGGGGTGGGCCGGGATTGAGGGGCGCTTAAGTCAGTCCCTTGAGACTATATTTCCTTTTCCCTCAGACACGTGTAATGTTCGCTGCTGAAACGGGTTAACGTGGCAGCATTAATCCCCCCGTAACAACAACTTGCATTTCTATTGTGCCCTTCAGCAGGAGAGCGCCTCCGAGTGCTGCAAACAACTGCTCCGTTGTAGTGCTCTGATATCCTTGAGGCATCAACTCCCCACCTTCCTGTTCCCCCCCCCCCCGCCCCCCGCATCCATAAAGCTGCTTGTAAACCGTCAGTTTGGCCATTGGTCGTTTCGGACTCTGGCAATGATGTGATGAAGTCCGCCCCACCTCTTCGACTGCACATTCGGCCACCCTACCCCCCTGGTCCCAACCCCCTACTCGGGTCGAGATTGTCCAGCACCTCAGGACATCCTCCTGACGTGAAAGGCGCTGTGTAAATGTTAGTTGTTGTTGTTGCTCTGGTGGCACGTGGCTGTTGTTGAGATGCAAATTGTCTAATGGAGATGATGCTCTTTCAGACACTGAAGACGAAGGTTTCTGGGGAGAAGATGTCCTCTCCACCGCCGTGCATTCGGACACTTCACACCCCAGCGGCCAGCGTTCAGCGAGCCCCTCTCCGGAGGGCAGATCACTGGCTGCAAACTCAGCCCTTCACGTCCTGGATTTAGATCAGCTGATGTCAGCAGACGGCTTGCTGGCGCAGTGGGCCCCAGAGCTGGAGCCTCCCCTGGTGGCCCAGAGCGAGAGCAGCAGAGAGGAGGAAGGAACCGTGGCTGATTTATTTTTATTTGACTTGTAATCATCTTTTCCAGTTGGTCCACTTTAAATTCCGGGGCAAATTAAGGCTGAGACAGAGATTAACCAGAATAACCTGGTTTTGTGCACTCGATGTACATTCTCCTGCCCGGAATGTAATAATTAATTTGCTTCATCGGTTTATGTGAAGTCAGCCATCTACAAACGGGGACTTTCTGTTCCACACGCCTCAGGGATGGGCCTCAAGCCATTAAGGGCGTTGAGAACAAACTCTGGAGCAGTTCTACATTGCAAAATTAACTACAAGGTGAATTACAATCATTTGCAGAATGGTTGTGGTAATGAACATGGACTGCAATGTACAAATCGATCGCGCCTGCCTGTCAGAGCTCTGGCACGAGATCGCTGCTTAATGCTGAGCGTGTAGCGCTTAGCACTGCTGTCGTCACATTCTCCAACTGGTTATATCATGGCCTGGAGCACAGTCCAGGCACTGGTGCTTCGTCCCCATCAGTGGCAAGGCACTCAACTGTAGCTCAGTGGTGAGAACATTTGCCTCGCAAGCGAGACGACCTGGGCTCGATTCCCTGGCAGGGCAAAACGTTGGGCAAGTTTCCTTACTCCACACGCCTCTGTTTACCTCGCAGTAAATAGGAATCGGTTGGTAGGCAATTGGCAGATTGCTTTTCCAGGGTTAAAAATTCCTTAAAGAAGAAACAATCGATCACTCAATCCACGACTATGTGTGGGACACTGCTGTGTGCAATTGGCTACCTTGTTTTGCCCACAAAATATAGTCAATGCACTTTACAATTTATTCTGTGAAGCGCTTTGAGACATCTCGAAGATGTGATAAGGCGATGTATCGAATGTAAGGATGATTGTAACTGGAAAGTACAAAAAAAATTCCTGAATTGAACCCTTAACATATTTGGTGTCACCCACTCGGTATCTCTCCAGCACCATGGGCTATCCTCCCAATGGGAAAGGCCATTATAAATGTAAATTTTTTGCTGTTTGTGGGAGATTGCTGTGCTTGAATTGTTTCTGTGTTCGCCCACAAAATACAAATAGTCAAAGTGCATTAGTACATGTTCTTGTGAATGATTCTGAGACCACTCATCCATGTGAGAAGGTGCCATATCAAATGCAAGGCTTATTATGTTTTCCTTATAAGCAAAGAATTAGGGCAAGTTGATTCAGTGCATTAAATACAAATGTAAGAATAGGGGGAGCAGGGATTTGGGATTCAGCAGGCGGCGTAGTCATTCCAATACACAGGAATTTGCTTAGGTGTATGGGATTCTCAATCTGGTTTGGATAGTCTTAGGTATGGGAACAACCCACACAAGACTGTAAATATCAGCATTTTCCTCACAGGCTACAATAATACAATAATTACTAGTAATCTGAAGCTTTGTGAAATAACATGGGGATACTGTAGCTCAGTGGTTGGAACACTCACCTCGCAAGCAAGAGGACCAGGGTTCGATTCCCAGGCAGGGCAAAATGTTTGGCAAGTTTCCTTACTCTACACGCTTCTGTATCTACCAGTAAGTAGGAACCTGGTTATCAGTCGATTGGCAGATCGCTTTTCCAAGGGCAATACTTCCTTCAAAAAAAATAATAAATTGGTCACTTCAATCCATGACTGTTTGTGGGACATTGTTGTGCGCAATTGACTGCTGCGTTTCACCCATAAATTTACAGTCAATTCATTTTACAATATATTCTGTGAAGATGTGATAAAGGGCTATATTAAATGCAAAGATTATTATTATAATGCAGCCCGACAATCTCAGTCACTCTTCACATACCACCCAAAAGGCATCTGCCCACATCACATGGGATTGCTGGTCTTTCAAGTCATTTTTTTCCCTCGTGCAAAGGATCTCTGGATTAGGTGGAAAATGAAACAAGATCAGATCATTTATTGCACTCAATGAAAACACAGGATATTTGCATTTTTATTCTCAACATTAAGTTTCCTTACTCCACATGCCTCTGTAGCAGTAAGTGGGAACCTGGTTGTTAGTCGATTGCAGATCGCTTTTCAGAGGTTATAATTCCTTAAAAAATAACAATAAGTTGTTCACTCAATCCACGACTGGTTGTGGGACACTGCTGTGCGCAATTGGCTGCCGCGTTTTGCCCACAAAATGTAGTCAATTCACTTTACAGTATATTCTGTGAAACGCTTTGAGATGTCTAGATGTGATAATGCGCTATTATCAAGTGCAAGGATTATCATAATAATTGCCTGGTTTTGTTATGTTTCATGTCTTTTCACTAAATGATTCCTGCGGTACTTTCTATCTAAGTAGGTCGCTGTCTTTCCACCCGATACCTCAAGCTATCAATTGCATTTTTGATGATGAATAATTCATTGCAGCACAAGCAAGTTAGAAAACACCGGCTGGTTTAGGGTTGTGTGTATAAGGTTAATAATGTTGCATTTCAACTGATACAAAATATGTCCAATTAGTCAAGTTGTTAAAAGGATCAGAGGTTTCAAAATCATCACATCTCGTGTGATGGGGGTGTTTTTTGGTCTATTCTCACCTCACTGAGCCCCTCTGTGTTTCTTTTGAGAGCATACGATAGGATTTCACCCTGACACAAGATCCTCCCAGCAGCGAAATGAGGTCAATGCAAACTGTCCTTTCCTTCACTCTGAATTTGCAGAACCAATCCACCCGGTGAAGCCAGAACGACGAATCCCCAAAGAACCCTTAAATTCTACATCGCCGGAACCCTGAGGCACCTCACTGACCATGCAGGTAAGTGTGTGATTATCCTCTACCCCAGCTTTGTCCAACAGTCCTGTAGCTCAGTGGTTAGAGCACTCGCTTTGCAAGCGAGACACCTGGGTTCAATTCCAGGCAGAGGGCGAAACCTTGGGCAGGTTTCCTTACTCCACACACCTGATAATAATCCCTCAAAAAAAACCAATAATAAATTGGTCATTTCAATCCACGACTGTTTGTGGGACATTGCTGTGCGCAATTGGCTGCCGCGTTTCGCCTACAAATATACAGTCAATTCACTTTACAGTCTATTCTGTGAAGCGCTTTGAGGTGTCTGGAAGACGTGAAAAGTGCTAGATCAAATGCAAGGATAATTATTATTATTGTGATTATTAACAGGCAGCCAAAAGTTTGGACCACTCTGCTCTCCCCATTCATGAAGACATGAGAGAAGCTACTGTTCATCAAACAGATCAGAGTCCTCAAACACATTCACTGGTCTAATTCGTACTATTTCCTAACAGGTATGTGCAATCAGATGATATAATAATAGTAATAATCCTTGCATTTAATACAGCACCTTATCACGTGTTCGAGTTGTCTCAAAACCCTTCCGTTCCCAGAATATACTGTAAAGTGAATTGACTGAATATTTTGTGGCAAATACAGCAGTGTCCCATAAACAGTCGTGGCGATCTGGCAAACGACTAACAACCGGATTCCTATTTACTGTTAGGTAAACAGAGGTGTATGGAGTAAGGAAACTTGCCCAACGTTTCGCCCTGCCGGAAATCAAACCCAGGTCTCTCGTTTGCGAGGCGCGTGCTCTAACCACTGAGCTACAGGACTCCGCAAATAAGGTATAATAAAAGTATAATAAGGTAGGTGCAATTTTAGATTTTCTGAAACATTGAATGTGTTTTAAGAATATTTTAGAAAATTGATAATTCCATTAATTCAATGTTTCTCAAATCAATACTTCATCAATCAACCAACCAACCCACCCACCCACCCACCCACCAATCAACTAACCAACCAAGACTCACATTAGTCTCAATATGTGATACTGATAAATATTCATCACCATGGTCATTATCACAATAAGTCAATCTTTTCCATTCCTTTTGCTAATTGTAAATTATTGCCTGGCTGAGAAGATTGGTTAAAGAATAATATTGATCGAAATGGGCAGATTGTCCTTGTCCAAACATGTTTGCGAATAGATGTCTTTCCCAAATGAAAAAAACGTGCAGTGGTCAAAAAAAGGGTAAAAACAAAGAACCAATTAATATTTCCCGATTCTTCTTCATCCAGATGTGGTTCTTCAGACTCCGCACTCACCAGTGCTGTTTCTTGCTGTTCAATGCCATCCTCTTCCACGCCTTGTTGTTTGGAGCTGACTTTGTGGAAGAATACTTGCTTCAATCCTCCCCGAACACCTACACAGATGCCCAAACCCTAGACATCAGAGAGAGGGCACGGAAACTTACCGTGGGTTACATCAAGAGCAACGCTTCCCAGTTCTTCTGCCTGAGCAGCTCAGGCGCCTGTGGTCACAGCAACATCTTCCTTCTGTCCATCATCTCCAGTGACGTGGAAAACAGCAGCCGCCGGGATGTGATCCGCAGAACCTGGGCAAATGTCACCCGGGTCCGAGGCTACTCGGTGCTGACCTTGTTTGCGCTCGGGATGCCTCGCACGCCAGATGCTCAGAGCGACATCCGCAGAGAATTCGCAAAGCACGGGGACTTAATCCAAGGCAAGTTCCTGGACGGTCCTGAGAACCTGACTCTCAAGACCATCATGATCATGCAGTGGGCGGTGACGTTTTGTCCCAAAGCTTTATTCATTCTCAAATCCAATGAGGAATCCTTTGTCAATTACGTGAGCTTGATGGGCTACTTGTTGGGTTTGAGGAGACATGCAGAGGACCTGTACATTGGGAGAGTCCAGCACCAGGACATGCCCAACAGAAACCCTCTTGATGCCAACTTCGTGCCGGTCAGTCAGTATGCGAGTCAACGCTACCCCGATTACTGCAGCGCCGCCGCCTTTGTTATCTCACAAGATGTGGCCAGGAAAATCTACGTGGTATCCGCAGACCTGGGCAGCTCATTGCCTGAGGCTGTGTTTGTTGGCATCTGTGCCAAGCGAGCCGGTGTAGTGCCCACACACAGCTCCAGGTTCTCCGGCAATAAACACATCCGGTTCAACCGCTGTTGCTACCAATTCCTCTTCTCTTCCTACGGGCTGAGCGATGAGGAGCTGGGGGCTATGTGGGAGGAGATCAGTGACAGCAGAGACTGCTCAATGCTGGAAACATATTCTGGACTCATCAAGTGTAAAGCGTTGACTTACCTGGACAAACTAACCTAACTAACATAGCCTAGACACAAGGACAACACACATCCCCTTTCAGGCTAAATAATAATAATAATAATCTTTGCATTTGATACAACGCCTTATTACGTCTTCGAGTATACAGAGTAAACCGTAAAGTGTAGTGACTGTGTGTTTTGTGGGCGAAATCGGCAGCCAATTGCGCAGAGTGGTGCTGTGGTTCGGGGCAGGCTCCGTTTATACCCTAGCTGTGGGCAGTCAGCGCCCGTCTGGTGACAATCACAGCTCAGGCTGATCTCACCCTCCACCTCACACACAATACGTCCTTCTCACAGGAAGGGGGTGGGTGGGAGGAGGAGGAAGGGGGGGGTTAACAACAACAACTTGCATTTATATAGGGACCTTCATGCAGGACAGCACCTCAGAGCGCAACAGCTTCAGAAGCAGGAACTCTGACCCTTAACTCCCCACTATACCTGGTCCCGAACCCTGCCCACGGTCCCTGCTGTGAGCTAAAGGGTGTGTGTGTGTGGGGGGGGGAAGCTTGGCTTGGCAGTCTGACTTGGGGTAGCTGACCTGCAGGAAAAGGAGAAGAGGAATCAAATGTCAGGAAGAGGGAGCACGGCGAGAATTTGCTTTTAAAGAAATCTTCAAAATAAAAATGTACCTCGGGATAATTATAAAGTGTATTAATTTCTGTTGTTTTGCTGCAGGAATTCAGTAATCAAGTTTCTGCACCATTTTCTGATATCTCAGGTCCTCAGCTGGAGGGGCTGGCTTTTTTTTTTAGCTTTAGCTTCTGTTTGCGGTTTTGTTGCAATAATCATAATAATCCTTGCATTTGATATAGCGCCTCATCGCATCTTCGAGACGTCTCAAAGCACTTCACAGAATACACTGAAGATAACAGATAAACAATGTGTTGGAGCAAAATCAGCTCATGCAGTTCAACAAAGATGTAGCTATCGTATTGCCCCAGTCTGGGTTCAAGCCCCACGTCAAGACTTTGAGCTGATAGTCCAGTGCTGGACAAGTGTTGCCTTCTCAAACATGCCATCCTTTAGGTGACGTCCCATCTACTCGGTCACATGGTCAACTATTTTCCATATGTAGGGTGATCCGAGTGAGACTGAGAACAACTGAGGAATCTCACTGATTTCAGTTGCTATTTATTTTTTGAGCAGCCAAGTGTCTGACATATGGAAACCTATCAACGTGTTTAACAGTACACGAACCAGCCTGAGAGTTCCACATATGTACGCATCTACACATGGACATTTCCCTGTGTCTGGATGGAATGCCCACTCTCTCCCTGGAGGGATGCACCCTGCTTACCTAATTCTGGAGAGGATTAGGCGCCGGTTGGCAAGACTGAAAGCAGAGTGTGTGTTGGGGTAATTGCTGGAGTCTAACCAGCTAAAACCACACAGCTTGCCATTGAGAGCAATCTTCATTCATTTTAGGAACCTTGCTGTGCTCACAATGCCAGTCAATATACTTGATAACATTCACTTGTGAAGTTTAAGCCAGTTACAGTGACTTTACTTGTGAAATGCTTTGAGATACTTTGACATTGATAGATGCTCTATCAAATGCATGGGTTGTTACTGCATATCGTGCACCCTATCCTGTCCCATTGGTTTTGAATTTTAACTTGTATTTAAAATAAACTCTGTATTTTTAGAATCTGCATTAAAAGCAAGTCTCAGAGGACATTTTATTTAACTGAGTGGGGGTGGAATGTCAGCCTTGTTCATCATTCCATTTCAGCACGCAACACTGAAGGACACCAATCTGAGATTTGCGCTCAAATCTGTGAGATATTTTCTATTGTTGAGAAATCCAGGTAAAGGACCGAGGTTAAATGCCACCCAGGTCAACGCGGTTGACAAACCTGGCAATGAAGACCTATAAACCTAACCTCAATAATAGGATAAATAATGGAGTCAATCATCCGAAAGGAAGTGGTAGTTTACCCCTAAAAAAAAATCTAATAAATGACAGTTAACATGGTAGGTAGAAAGGGTAGGTTTTATCTGACTAATCTCACAGATTTATTTGAGGAGCTGACAGCCCAAATTGACTGTAGGAAGTCAATTGATGTTGTATATCTAGACTTCTAAAAGACGTTTGACAAAATACCACATGAAAAATTCCTTCACAAACTGTGATCACTGGGTATCAAGGGTAAGACATGGATGTGGATTTAGAATTGCTCCTTGTGTATGTTAATGACCTTTAATGACCTGGATTCACAGAATGACTAGATAAGTGCTCAAGAGCTCTCCAAGCTTGAGAAGATGTCGCAGAGGGGACTTTATATAAAGGTATAAAAATGCGACTGAAAAAAGTGAACCAGACCAATACGTTAGGATGCACCAAGACAGAACAAGAGGACGTAGATTTAGAGTTGGAATAGACAATATCAGGACAGAAATTCTGGCTCCAACCTCCTCAACCTCTCGCTCACTGAACCAGTGCACAACCTCGGTGTCCAGTTCTCAACTGGAGTTTGCTAGCTCTCTCTTTGCTGGTCTCCCTCCTCCATCCATAATTCGACTCACTCAAAACTCTGCTGGCTACATCTTCACTGAAACAAAACTCTGCACATCCATCACCCCATTGCTTGCCTGGCTCCATTGGCTCCCTGTTTCCCAGCAGAACTGATTTCAAGGTCCCCTCACCTATAAATTCCTTCCTCGCCCAAGCACCTCCCTATCTCTTTGATTACCTCCTGCTTCACTCCTCTGCTCCCCCCTCTACTCAACTAACTCAGGCTTGTGATGAGTTTCCAACCTCTCTGCCCTACCATCACTTGGATTTTCCAAATCTTTATCCCTAACCTATGCTTATGCCTCCCTCGTCTTCTCCAAAACATCCGTCTCCATCCATCTTCAAGTCCTACTTGAAGTCTATCACCTCAACCTATGAACCTCGACCTCCTCCCCCTGTGGTCACCTTCCTGTTCCTCCCCCTCCCCTACTCAGTGTCGTCCCAGTCACTCTAAAGCACGACAAGATGTTATTCTTAGACTATGTGATTCCATTGATAACAAAGGACACTGGAATAGCAAAGGGAAACTTGAAAGACATTTGTTTTTGTGAAAAGAGTTTCTGATTATGGAATACTTTCTCACAAGTGGCTAAAGCAACAACAACAGCAACAACGCAGGGATATTGTAGCTCAGTGGTTAGAGCACTCGCCTCGCAAGCGAGAGACCTGGGTTCAATTCCCGGGCAGGGCGAAATATTGGGCAAGTTTCCTTAAAATTAAAACTGGTCACTCAATCCACGATTGTTTGTGGGACACTGCTGTGTGCAATTGGCTGCTGCATTTAGCCCACAAAATATACAGTCGATTCCCTTTACAGTATATTCTGTTAAGCGCATTGAGATGTTTTGAAGACGTGATATCGTTAGTGTTTTCCTAAAGACCTTAGCAACAACTTTACTGACACGTATCATTTAACAAGCTTATATTCAGGTAAGGAGCCAAAATGGGAGGAGACTTGTCACTTTAGCAATGTACCAAGAGCCGAGTGTCTGTGTAACTGAGAATCAGCTACAACCTGAAGCAGACAGCACAGAGAATGAGCACCAGACAGTGCAGGTATGCCTGAAGCAATAACACAGGACTATCTGGCTTAAATTTCCACATAATAAAACTACAGACTGTTTTTTTACAGACATATTTGTTTTCCTTAGAGCAGAGAAGGTTAAGGGGAGATCTGATAGAGGTGTTCAAAATTATGAGGGGTTTTGATAAGAGTAGATAGGGGGAAACTGTTTCCTATGGCGGGTGGGTCGGTAACTAGACCACATTGCTTTAAGATAATTGCCAAAAGAACTAGAGGGCAGATAAGGAGAATTTTTTTTACACAGAGTGTTGTTATGATCTGGAATGAAAGGGTAGAAGCAGATTCAATAACAACTTTCAAAAGGAAATTGGATAGGGACTTGAAAAGGAAAAAAATTGTAAAGATATCGGGAAAGAGCGGGGAAGTGGGACTGATTGGGTAGCTCTTCCAAAGAGCCAGCACAGGCACCTTCTGTGCTGTAATATTCTATGATTCTATGATATTTAATCAAAATACCAATGGAATCACATATGTGCTTCTATTCTCTTTGCCTGCTCTCAAACCTATGGGTAGATTTTTCCTTTATGTAACAGCCTCCACCCTCCGATCAGGATATAGCTGGGTGAAGTAAATATCTCGAAAGACTTGTGATATTTCATGAAGATGTTTTGTTTCTGTTGGAAAGTTGTGTCTATTGGTTTGATCTTAAGAGAACACTCCATCCCCGGGTGAAATCAGATAAAAGTTTACTCCTCTACTGATTTTACTGGGTCTTCACTTGGGATCAAGCATTCAGTAAAGAGAAGTCTGTAGTGACTGAGTTTGCGGTTGTGAAGTTTGACAATTGCCTATTGTCCTGATGATGTCAGTACGTCTTTGGGATGATGCATTGTGTCCCTGTAACATGTTTCCATCCATTATTCAAAGCGATGAAATGACTAAAGATACAATTACGAAGCTGTAGATTTGACGCAGATGGTGTTTCACCCACATTGAGTTTCATTGTTGGGATGGAGCCTAGGTTCCAACACCTTCAGCTGTTGGTTAGACTATCTGCTGTACAATCTGACACTCACATTTATTATACAAAACATTTATTCATTTATAGAGATTGCTTAGATCATTATCCTCCTTTGAATTTTTTTTACAACCATTTATCTTCCATAATCCTTCCTCTTACGGAAACCAGTAGAAAATAATATGTTTTCCCAATACCCTGGCCAACAAATCTTCGAGGTGAATTGGCCATTCACTTCACAGCACTTTGAAATGTTATGAAATTAGAGGCACTGTATCAAATGCAAGGATTATAATTATTATTGTCTACTGCTGACTGGCAGAGGCTGCCTGGGGCTGGTAATTTATCATGGCAAAATGGTCACTGTTTCTTTGTCAACGATGGCAATGAGAGCATCACAGCTGAGACTAAACCTGTCCTCCGCCAACATTTCATCTTTAGAATAACATT